CATCCAGCTAACATGTATGTGAACCTCATGTCGAACGAACAGACTCCTAATACATTTTGAGAGAAGAACCCCTTTCGATTTCTCCATACCTCAGCATTTGCAGCGGGTGGAACACATGGTACGTGAGTACCATCCAGAGCGCCAACACAATTCTACGTAGTAACTAATTACCATACGCAACAACGCAATTCTACATATATATCTTAAAGAGTAATTAGTTTAGGAAAAATACCTGGAACCATGGCAGATACTTGTTTCCACGCGCGGCTACGACAGGATCAATAATGTCGAAGTTTGGTGGTGTAAGGAAGTCAAAACGGAGCTCATACAATGCCTTCAAAACAACGTGGAAATACTTTGAAATGGTAGCACCCGAATGCTGCAATTGATCTTATGACTCCCTGTTGTTTGAACTTTGACATACAATGTATAGGAAAATAAAAAGTTGCTCGTGCACATTCATATTCCTAGTCGGTCTTAAAAGCCCTTTAAGCTCAAGCAACGTACTAAGACGCTTGAAACAATCACTTCCCATTCTAATCTTCAACCTAATAACGTCCTCATGTCCAGCACGTAGGTATTGAACACGCATTATACCTGTGAGTACGGAGGTATGCTTTGGTTAAGGCAGTGGTCTTTCCATGTATGTGTAGTAATACCACAAAACTACTGCTACTGCCGCAATCTCATAATCGTCATCTGAGTCGTCACTATCATCGTTTTCAGGAACGTGGTTTGAGGGACCTGCATTCCACATTGCTACCTGCAAGACATGCATAATGAAAGAATAACAAACGAATATATATGAAATGGTCATCTCATCCGCAAGTAAAGGTGACTACACATAGTACATCAATAAATATTGTTCTACGCAATGCAACTCAATAACCATAGTCAATACAACACCAGCACGGCCGTAGTAAACATAATTAGCAAAGTCTACTCAAATACTATGTTGAAATCTAAAAATGAGAAATGATGTTTAATTGTATGAATACAGACAATGGTAAAAACAATATTTTATGGAACTCAATGCTGGTCTGGACTGCCATCGCCACCAAAGTGTCCCGATTGCGGCGGAAAGTGAGGCATGTAGTATGGTGTTTAGGGATTATACGCAGCTGGTTGTTGGGGATTGTAGTTTTGGGGATTTGTAGGAAATGGTGGGACAGGTTGTTGTCCCCCAAAGTTTAGGGGCCGTGGCATATTGTTGGTGGGTTGTTGGCCATAGAAGGGAGCCGGTTGCATATAGTTGCTGGGTTGTGACATGAAGTTGGGAAATTGTGGCGCCATAAACTGTGTCCCCGTAGAGGCATGGGGGTTTGAGAAAGGTCCATGTGATTGAGTCCTTGACGTACTGATTGTTCTTGTCACGAAGAAGTTACGTTGAGTATCACTCATTCCCACAAACAGCTTCTGCATATTTGGATACCAAGCAATAGCCTCCAAAAACATTATTGCGGTTTCATCATCAAGCGCCATTTCCCTAATTATGCCCTGGCATTGGTCCTGGAGATCGACAATAGGCGCAGCCTGATTCGCACTAGAGCTTTTAGTGCGACTACTACGCTTGCTTTCAATAGAAGAGACAAGCTTGCCGATTAAATCCCTCGCTACAGGGTCACATATTACCTTATGTGAGGACTTGGCTGGTTTCTTGCCGATCGCTTTCGAGGACGACGCAATGTTGAGACCTCTAGCTGCATTGTTCAAACCGGCCCGCATGGAGGCAATGAAACCATCTTCGCTGCCACCCTCATCAGATGTCGCCCTTTCTTCGTCGGAGATGTGTACTGGACCCTCATCTATGTTCGTTGGATTATCCAATCCCTTCTCAAATGCCCCACTTGCCCTCGTACCACCAAAGGCCTCATAGTACAAGTCCCAATTTTTAAGAGGCTGATTCTTTGCCGATTTTGCCCATTTCTTGTTCTGCATATGAATGAGCAAACAAAATGACCTTGGCAAAATATTGCAAGAATTGACTACCCATAGAACAATAATTGTTTAGACGTTTACCTTGGCAAAATCTTCCCAATATTCATCAGTGCACGTCACAGCACCGGTAACAGGGTCCCAGCCAAGTCCTATGTTATTGCGTAAGGTAAGCTCATGGTCAAACTTGGCTTTGAGACGGACTTTCATCTGCTGCACTTTGGCAGGGGTGACTTAATCCTTAAAGAACTATTGAAGTTGTTGCGCCCAATCCTCCCATGTTTTAGAATCAGGTTTCCGACCGTTGGCATCACGGAGATGTGTACTGGACCCTCATCTATGTTCGTTGGATTATCCAATCCCTTCTCAAATGCCCCACTTGCCCTCATACCACCAGAGGCCTCATAGGACAAGTCCCAATTTTTAAGAGGCTGATTCTTTGCCGATTTTGCTCATTTCTTGTTCTGCATATGAATGAGCAAACAAAATGACCTTGGCAAAATGTTGCAAGAATTGACTACCCATAGAACAATAATTGTTTAGACGTTTACCTTGGCAAAATCTTCCCAATATTCATCAGTGCACGTCACAGCATCGGTACCAAGGTCCCAGCCAAGTCCTGTGTTATTGCGTAATGTAAGCTCATGGGCAAACTTGGCTTTGAGACGGACTTTCATCTGCTGCCCTTTGGCAGGGGTGACTTAATCCTTAAAGAACTATTGAAGTTGTTGCGCCCAATCCTCCCATGTTTTAGAATCAGGTTTCCGACCGTTGGCATCACGATTGTAGGCAGCGAGTCGCATAAGCAACTCCTCTTTCTGCCTTTCAGTCCAGTGTAGAGTGGCTTCATCGTTAGGTTTCCCTCTCGACATCTAAAATAGGAAAGAAAGAAGCGTAACGACGCACAAGAAGAATGGCCGTACGCGTGAGTAAGATATTTGAAACAATCCAAGAACTAGACACAGTTATAAATGGCTCCGAACATTTTTCGAACATCACTGCCATTAACCAACGTACTACTACCTGGTTTTTACACGTAACAAGTGAGGCAATGTTATTACTGGCTCAGAAATTTTGTAGCTGAGTAATCGCAACAACACTCGAAGCATCATCCTTATAAGCAGGAGCGACGTAGCTGCCATGCTTCAGAGGCACTCGATAAATTCCAATTAAGCCGTAACTAACTGTCACATTGCCTACAGGACGCCACTACGACGAGTGTTCTAATTTTTGAACCAATTTCATCATTGCCAACATTACTTGTTTGTTAAGTGGTCATGTGAGATACGACCATAGGGGAGTCAATACACCAACAACAGAGGCAGTACATCCACAGGGGAGGCAACAAGCTAATGTAAAAACGGCAACAGGAGAGCCAATACAACAATAGGATAGTCCATAAGCTAAGGTAAAAACGGTAACAGCAGAGCCAATACATCCACAGGGGGAGGCAATAAGCTAGGTAAAAACGGCAACAACACAGCCAGTACAACAATGGGAGATGCCATAAGCTAAGGTAAAACAGCAACAGCAGAGCCAGTACAACAAAAGGAGATGCCATAACCTAAGGTAAAAACGGCAATGGAGAGAATATACGACAACAGGGGAGGCCATAAGCTAAGGTCAAAACTGCAACAGGAGAGACAATATGACAACAGGGGCATAAATAAGCTAAGGTAAAAACGACAACAGGCGAGGCAATACGAGAACAGGGGATGCAATAGCCACAGGGACAAACGACAATAGTGGAGGCAATACGACAACAAATAAGAGAACATTGTGACTGCAAACGACAACAGTGGTCTCACTACACATTGGCATCACAATACAAACGACAAGGAATATGTCTCAGTACACATTGCCATCACAATGCAAACGACAACCAATATCTCAGCATCAAATCAGTGAAAATGAAGAAGAACTACGGTGCAATCATGACAAATCCAGAACAAATAATGGTATATAGGAGATTAGTAGATGTGAAAGATCATACCCGGTTGGAACCAGTTGAGGACAAAGGCTTATCGTCTATCAAAACCCCCAAACGCGATCATGAGGCAGCGCGTACGACGGCTTGACACCGGAACCGCCGACGGTAACCTCTCAACGGAATATAACTAGTAGATGCAAGATTCTGCCGTTTGGCTGTACATCGACGCAATAAAACGGCCAACGGAGTTTGCCGGTTGCATCGAGGCGGATGAATGGTATCCGTGATGAAGATTCAAGGGCAGGGGCGGGGAACACTTCTAGGGTTGGGCATGCAACAAGAAATCGAGGCAAAAATGGTGGAAATAGGGGAGAGGTTTACCTTTTTTCGCAGCGGATCGACAAAGTAACCGATTCGAGTAACCTTCCCCCAATGGAGAGAATTGATTTTCACTCCAAAATCTGCAGACAATAGCTTTTTTCAGAGTGAAATCAGAAGGGGGAGGCAGGAACCAGAGTCCAGCGGGCAGAAAGCAGAGAGAAATCTGCACTGGGGAGGCAGGAACGAGGCAGCAACGGGAAGAAATCAGAGGAATCTGCACTGTTCAAGCACATGGAAACACTATAGAAGCACACTGCAGTAATGTGAAAACGACTGGTGTGCCAAACTCTGAAATCAGAGTTATTACTCGAGTTTCACACTCGAGTTTTGGTTGATGAACGCAAAACTCAGCCCAAATTTCAATTCGAGTGGGCTGTACTCGAGTGGGGGGGGTACCATCCAAAATCTTCAAACAATAAATAAAATAAAGGAAAACGATGGTAACACGATAAAGCAGCAAACTTAAGAAGCAAAATTCAATTGAACCAAAAACACATACAAAAGGTTACTATCCCATCAAATTCCAAATCAATCAGAATCATCGAGCTCTTAATAAAGTTTAAGGCTGAATTTCATAAACAATTTCACAATTAACCACCAGATTTTAAGAAATAATAAGAACAAGAGAAACTTGTTGATGAACAGTACAAAGAACTATGGTCTATAGGATGATGCTAGGAATCATGAAGAAAAGTAACATGAAAGAAAAATAAGAGAAAGAGACGAAAACATTCTCATACATTCCATTTTCCCACTTTTCCATCATTGCTTACCCCAAAAACTCTCAGCAACCAATGGTGTTCAAGAAAAAAGACAGAAAAACATTACAGCCAAAGTTCTCCTTACAACTTCGCTTTTCTTGTTGTATTTTAAGCTTTTCTTATATTCGAATATCCCTTAAGCCAACCACTTTGGGTGTGCTACTTCAAGCCTCGTCTCAGATTGCTGCAAAACTAAGAAAGCAATATAAGAAACATTCATAAAGTAGATCTATATCTGTAACACCTCGAGAAATTAAACAAGATTAATTAAGATAATGAAGATTTATTAATGTGCCTAATCTGATCTAATTAAATAATTATGTTTATTAAATGTTTCTGACGTGTAAATTTAAATAATTCTAACGTATTTAAATATTTTCAGTAATTATATTTTTATACCAGAAGTGTGTGTAGAGATATTTTCTGGACTGTCTTTTAAATATTTTGACACCTGTCTTTTTCTTTTTCTTATCTTTTTCCTTTTTCTTTCCTTTTCTTTTTCTTTCTTTCCTTTTTCTTCCCGTGCAACTCTCCCTCTCGCTGTCGTTCTCTCTCTCTCTCTCACTCTCTCTCTCTCTCTCTCTCTCTCTCTCGTTCTTCTCACACGCTCACTCTCTCTCTCTCTCTCTCTCTCTCTTGTTCTTCTCACACGCTCACTCTCTCTCTCTCTCTTCAAATTTGTCACCGTTTCCTCTGAATTTCAAACCAAAGAAGAATTTCAAGAAGTTTTCAACATCAAGAGAATGATTTGAGGTAAGATTTCTGAAAAACTTCTCTTGAATCTCAGATTTCTAGGTTAGAAAACTTATTTTGGTTTGAAATGGATTTTGAGTAAAATCATGGTAGAAATTGGGGATCTTTGATTCTATGAACTTGATTTAGTAACTAGAACTTGGATTTGGTTGTTTCCCCTTGAAATGTTTCGGATTTGAACTTGAAATTGCAGGTTTTTGGGCTTGATTCGGCAAGTTTTCTCGCACTTCAGTTCCCCACCGGTCTACCTATGCGGTCGACCGGATTGCACACCACCGGTCGACTGGTGGTGTTGCACATCTCTGTCACTCTCTCTCTCTCTCTCTCTCGTTCTTCTCACACACTCACTCTTTCTCTCTCTTCAAATTTGTCACCGTTTCCTCTGAATTTCAAACCAAAGAAGAATTTCAAGAATTTTTCAACATCAAGAGAATGATTTGAGGTCAGATTTCTGAAAAACTTCTCTTGAATCTCATATTTCTAGGTTAGAAAACTTATTTTGGTTCGAAATGGATTTTGAGTAAAATCATGATAGAAATTGGGGATCTTTGATTCTATGGACTTGATTTAGTAACTAGAACCTGGATTTGGTTGTTTCCCCTTGAAATGTTTCGGATTTGAACTTGAAATTGCAGGTTTTTGGGCTGATTCGGTGAGTTTTCTCGCACTTCAGTTCCCCACCGGTCTACCTATGCGGTTGACCGGATTGCACACCACTGGTCGACCAGTGCTGTTGGACATCTCTGTCACCAGTCGACCGGTGTACACAGGGTTTGACCCTGTTTTGTTCAAAAATACTGTTTTGACCTCAGTTTTCAAAGATAACCCAAATTAGCTTCATTTGGGGACCTAAAATAGATAGATTAGCATCTTTAATCCATGTTTTGGAATCAAAACCCTTGGAATGATGATTTGAACCATAAAATGAATTATAAAACTTGGAATTGGATTAAGGCGCACTAATAGGAAATCAAAGTGTATAATTGAGATTGAATTGCTTTAGGAATGAGAGTTTGCTCCTAACGTGTTATTTATGGTGAATGCTAGCTGAGGACTCGGATTGAGGGGCTTTGAGGAAGCGAAAGTCAGAATAGTGCAACGCTAGCCACAAGTTTGGTACTTACGATGTAGGATTTCTTACCCCTTTCTTTATTAGCTTGATTTTAAAAGAGTTTTGGCCTTGCAAATATTTTAAAGAAATGGCATGTTTGCGAAAGAAAAATATTTTCAAAACAATAGCTTGATTTTAGCTATTAGAATTACAATGAACTATGTCAGAAACTTTAATGAATCATTTCTAAAGATAAGAGATCTTGCGAATCAGTAAACCGACTAATGGCCTAGATAGGATATGGAGAGTGTATCTTTAGGGGCAGAACCCGAAACCCGGACCGGACCACTACGGTGGTATTAAGGCTTGTGCTTGTGGTTGTGTAAGTAATTTATCAGAGGATAAATTACTTGCTGATGCCTGTAATACGGAATTTTCAGTTTATATTCCTTTCAAAAAAAGGATGTGAGGTTCCGGCTATTGTGTTAGAACTGAATGTCTACATTTATTTATTTATTTTTCTATTTACTCGTTCATTCATTTAATTACTTGTTTATAAAGCTTATTTCAAATTACATCCTACTGGGCCTTTCGCTCATGTTTTCTTTGTCTTATAAATATTAAACCCCTCCAAGGCGACGCGAGGAGTAGTGCGGAGTAGGTTAGTTAGTTGCTACCATCCGATTAAGAGAGGATTGTGTTCATCCTCCTTGTGCATAAATGTAAGAATTGTAAATTCTTTAAACTCTGAACTTTGGATTTCTAGACTGTGGTTGATGTCTGTAATGTTATTTACATGTTCATGTATGTACAATACTATAGATCCTGTGGATGAAGCCCTGAACGATGTCAAAGGCTTAGTTATAAACCTCTTGAAATCAGAAAGTGCGGAAGACCCCGTAACTTTCTTGTAGTTTATTTTTAGCTAAATAGTGGGGCTCGTTCAGAGATTTCTAATATTTTTACTTTTGATTTTGATTATTATGATTCTCAATGTTTAATAATCTTCTTAATCACGTTTAACTCATAGACGAGCCTCCACGTCACTAACCCTGGATTCGGTTGTCCTTGTGGTTGATGGAAAAAGATGGCTAGACTACTTGACAAGAGAAGCTGTACCACCTGAGGTTGGAACTTCGGCCTACAAAAAGTGGAAATCTGAATATTCCATGGTGAAGGCATGGCTGTTGAACTCGATGGAACTAGCAATCAGCCGTGTTTACCTCTACTACAAAACAACAAATGCAATTTGGGAGATGGTAGAAGCGATGTACTCTGACTTAGGAAATTCAGCCCAGATTTTGGAATTGAAATCTGCCCTAAGAGAAAAGAGGCAAGGTAATCTAAGTGTAACAGAGTATTATAACGAATTACAAGTCTTATGGTAGGAATTAGATCTATGTCAGGATTTCAATTAGAGCTGCTCTACGGATAGTGCTAAATTCAAGAAGTCGCTTGACAAAGAACGAGTATTTGATTTCTTACTCGGTCTTAATAAGGATTTGGATGAAGTCTGAGGTCATGTGCTTGGTTTCAAACCATTCCCTGAAATTAAAGAACTATTCCCTGAAGTGAGACGTGAAAAAGCTCGGAAGAGAGTAATGCTTGGGAAAAAGAAGATCAACCCTACACCCACTACTGAACCGCCACACTAAGAATCAGCTTTAGTTGTCAAAAAAAAATTTCAGACCTGGTTGAGGGAACCGAAATCAAAAGAGGAGTGATAGACCTTGGTGTGATCGCTGCCAGTGTCATGGACACACCAAAGACACATGCTGGGAAATCCATGGAAAACCACTGGACTGGAAGCCAGCATGTTAACGCTGGCGCCAACAGAATTCAGGAGAAAGCTGAGGCTTCACAGCCTTATCTGGAGAAGGAGAAAAAATTCCAGAACCCAATTCTGGTTCGACATTTAGCAGGGAATAATTGGAACAACTTGAGTTTATCCTGTCCCGGCTTCCATCCTCAACTTCATCATCCTCAGGTCCGACAGCAGTAGTTACACAAAAGTGTAATTTTCTTTCTGCCCTAACAACTAAAACTACTAACAAAGTTTGTTGGATTGTTGACTCGGGAGCCTCAGACCATATGACAAACAGTAGGAGCATTTTTTCAAGTTTTGAACCATGTGATAATGATTTGAAAATTAAAATTGCGGATGGCTATTTGGCACCAGTAATAGGAAAAGGGACAGTGAGAATTTCTGATCATATAACTTTACACTCTGTGTTGTATATACCAACCATTGCCTGCAATCTTTTATCAGTTACAAAGTTAACAAAAGATATGAACTGTTCTTTGTGTGAGTTTTAGGATTTACTTTTGGGGAAGACGATTGGCAGTGCTGAGAAGTGTGATGGGCTATATCTATTTGAAGGTTCTCGGCTTGCAAAGAATAAACAAGTTTAGGCTTTGAGTTGTGATTTTGTCTCTACTTCTAGTGAAATTATGTTATGGCATAATAGGTTAGGCCATCCTAGTTTTTTATATCTGAAAAAGTTGTTTCCCTCATTATTTGTCAATAAAGATGGTCACTCATTTGCCTGTGAAATATGTCAATTTGCTAAACATACTCGTGTTCCCTATCCTTTGCAACCTTATAAAATTTTTAAACCTTTCTCACTTATTCATAGTGATATTTGGGGTCCTTAAAGAATAAATAATATATCGGGTGCACGTTGGTTCATAACTTTTATTGATGATCATACACGAGTCCGTTGGGTATTTCTCCTAAAAGAAAAATCAAATGTTGCCAATATTTTTCAAAACTTCCATAAAATGGTGGAAACATAGTTTCAGACAAAAATTCAAATTCTTCTTACAGATAATGGGCGAGAGTATTTTAATAATACTTTGGGTCCATATCTAGCAGAGAATGGAATATTCCATCAAAGCTCTTGTGTCGATACCCTCCAACAAAATGGTGTCGCTGAACGTAAAAACAGACACTTACTCGAAATGGCTCATGCACTCTTGTTTGCTAACAATGTTCCTAAGGTTTTTTGGGGGGAAGTCGTTCTTACATCCTGCTATCTTATTAACCATCTTCCGTTTTGAGTACTTCAGTACCAAACACCATTGTCTATCCCTCGTAAGTCTTATCCCCAAATTCGTCTACTTCATGATCTTCCACTCAAAACATTCGGATGTACTGCATTTGTACACTCGAATTCACCTCAACATAGCAAACTTGATCCTAGAGCCATTAAGTGTATTTTCTTAGGCTACTCTCCAAGTCAGAAAGGCTTTAAATGCTACTGTCCTGTCACAAAAAAGGTATACGTATCCATGGATGTCTCATTCTTTGAAAATCAAGCTTACTACAAACCTACCCTTCAGGGGGAGAATGTGAGACATGCATGGCAGCTTTGGGATTTCTCCATTCAATCCGAAACAGAGTCAGAGTCCCCTAGTTTACCTTCTAAGAGTCCAGTGTTACCTATTATGTTGTCTAATGATCTGGGAACAGGGGGAGAATCACATGTGCGAAGCAGCACACAAGAACTTCGTGTTTATTCTAAGTGAGTTAGGCAATCTCGAAATCAACATAAGCCTATTACAACTTCAAAGCACTATCAAGAGCCTGAACCGGAGGTAAACACACAACAGAATAAAGCAGGTATTGTTGTTGAAGAATCTAACGAGAAGGAGGTTCAGACAGTAGAGGAAGAACTGCCAGCTAGTGATCTTGATGTTCCTATTGCACTTCGAAAAGGCACTCGGAACTATACCCAACATCCGTTGTATAACTTCATGTCCTTTAAACATTTGTCACCTACTTTTCGAGCTGTAACCGAGAAGATTTCTGCTGAGGAGGTTCCTGGAAGTATACATGAGGCACTTGAAAAGCCACAGTGGAGGAAGGCACTTTTGGAAGAAATGAAAGCTTTGAAAAAGAATGGTATGTGGGCGATTGTAGATCTACCCAGAGGAAAATGCCCAGTGGGTTGTAAATGGGTCTTCACAGTAAAATACAACTCAAATGGATCAGTGGAAAGATATAAAGCTTGGTTAGTAGCTAAAAGTTTTACACAAACCTTTGGAGTGGATTATAATGAGACCTTTGCCCCAGTTGCTAAACTTAACACAATCAGGATACTACTCTCGTTGGCAGCTAATCTAGACTGGCCTCTATACTAGATGGATGTAAAAAATGCATTCCTTAATGGAACACTTGAAGAAGAACTATATATGGATTTACCGCCTGGGTTTGAAAGGGAACTTGGAGGCAATATGGTGTGCAGATTGTTGAAGAACACCTAGTTGCCGTGTATCGGCTTCTGAGATACCTCAAAATGACACCAGGGAAAGGTCTGTTCTTTGGAAAAACTAATCAAAGGCATATTGAAGCTTTTACAGATGCTGATTGGGCAGGTTCAGTCGAAGATAGTCGGTCAACTTCTGGCTATTGTACTATGGTCTGGGGAAATCTTGTTACTTGGAGAAGTAAGAAACAGAGTGTTGTTGCTCGCAGTAGCGCTGAAGCTAAGTTCAAAGCACTAGCATATGGAATTTGCGAGACAATTTGGATCAGAAGAGTTCTGGAAGAATTGCAAGCCGAACACAAGACTCCTCTAAGGTGTACTGTGACAATCAAGCAGCCTTGTGTATAGCTCAGGATCCTGTTCACCATGATCGTACCAAACATGTGGAAATTGACAAACACTTTATTAAGGAGAAGATTGATGAGGGAGTGGTAGAACTTTCATATGTGCCTTCGTCTCAACAAGTTACGGATGTTCTGACAAAAGGATTACCAAGACAAAGTTTTGAAGCTCTAGTAGACAAGCTGGGAATGATCAACATATTCACCACCTTGAGGGGGAGTGTAGGATATCCGTGTGATTCCATGGGGATATCCGAGTGATTTCCATGGATTTTGTGTCTCAATTTAGTATTTTGATTGTATGTTTATTTCCTAATTTCTTTGAAGTATTTTTTATGGTTTCTAGGAGAATAAACATGGTAATAAGAAATTACTATATTTGTACTTTTTGTTCTCTCTATTTAAAGAGAGCCTTCACTGTAAACCAAATTAAGGAAATAAGAAATCATTTCCTCTGAAAATCATTAAAAGTAATAAGCACTCTAAATCTAAACGTAAAACCAACAGTAAAAAGCCATAGCTAACAGCTATCACATGTCAGAGTAATGGCTGAAATTGAAGTAGACAAAAAAGCAGAGACAATACAATAACAAAGTTATCAACCGTAGAAAAGGCTAACCTTGTGATAGAGGGCATTGTTGCAACCGTTTCTGTAGACAAGTCAAAGAACCCAACAAAGCAAGGGATATGCTTAACATCTGATAGAAAAAGAAAGCAAAAATTAATAATGAGGCTATGGCTAACTCACCCCAAATTGAAGTAATATAGCGAATACAAAAGTATTTTCATACAGTTATGAACTCTCAAACTTGATATTGTGTCTAAACAGGAAGAGAGTAGTTTACAAGACATGCATTTGCCTCCCAACTGATCAACACATAATTGTTAATGGAGACTATTTAAAACACACAACCAGATCTATTATCTCTTCTTCCTTTCGATAATGCTACTTTTCTTTTTTACACTCCAGTAAAAGATTTAAGCTAATGTGTATCAAAATTACATTTAACAATTCTTCGCTAATTGGTTGAGTTTTTTTTTTCCTTTAAGAATTTTGAGCTTGTATCTTCTTGGATAGAGAGATTTTGTTCACCATGGAACCCCATCTCAATGTTGGCAACCTTCTATATAGGTGCTCAACTTGTAATATCAAATTTCATGTCAACTTTAAAACTAACTCAAATAAAAGAGCATAAAGCTGCAAGGACCAGAATAAATGACTGATCGTGAAAGCTACAAACCCAAACATTGCAGTACAATCATACAATAACCATAATACAAATAATCTAAGTCAATCATAAGAATCAAAGCTTACAACGTAAATGTTCTTGATAGCTCCTCAGTTAGAAATTGTCTGCCTAAAGCAACAAGACCCTGCCTTTCATTATTTCTCATCAATATAAAGGATACTTGAAGCAAGATCACTGCCATTTAGTTCAGTTCAAAATAGTTCAGTTCAAAATAATCACCCATACCACTGATGAGTAAAGTTAATAATCAGCCTAAATTTTCTATTAATTATCCGAGAAAAAAAAAAAAAAAAAAGCAATCAGGATAATTTTTAGCCAAATACTTAGATTTTTCTTCATGAATTTGTATAATCAGCCAAAAAAATCTTCCAGAAGCAATAAAAGGGACAAACCCAGAACATCAACAATCAAAATAAATTTTGAATCAGATATCAAGAGAAAAAGAAATTTAAAAAAAAAAAAAAAGAACTTACAGGATCTCAAAGTTAAAACCAGACCTTTACTGCCTGCCCGTAACCAAAAGAATAGTGGCCAGTGCTTTTATTATTCTCCCGAGGAAGGCCACCGATTTGTCGTTGAAGATCAATTGACTAATTTGGTTGCACAATACTAGTTAAAAACAACACGTGCAAGGCACATACAGTTGTATTCATTAGGATGTTTAAATTTATTTTTAGTTAAATGTAGTTAAATAGATAGAATTAATGAAATAATAAATGAGGCAATTGTTTTATAGTACTTTTTTGCACTCAAATGAAACCATTTCTTCCCTAATCATTTTGTTTAGGCAAGACCGTTGAATGATGATCTAATGGTTGTTAGGGATTTAATCTCATAGAGGTTTCAACCTTCTTTGGCGCCGGTGATGCTTCTAATCCAAACTCGGATTGGAGAGTTTGACATCCTCGGAATCAATACTCTTTGGTGTAGCTGTTATCATCGTCTCCATTGACGGTGGCTAAATCAGCCCTCTGGGCTCGCTACACAGAAACTTTGAGCTTGTTTTTTGAGTGAAAAATTTAAAAAAAAGTAATTCGAATTACAATTTTATTTGAGTTCATGTTCTTTTAAGTTTAAACTCGAGTTTAAACTCGAGTTCAAACTCGAGTTTAGGACTAAAACTCGAGTTCAAGTTTCCCCTTCAACTCGAGTTCAGAAACTCGAACTCAAATTAATGAATAGTATTTTTTCTATTATTAAAAATGCTATAATTTTTTCGTTTTAATTATGATTGAGATGATTTTTTTTTCTATGCGTTGACAACGAAAAGACGAATAAAACCCGACCCATATACCCTATTAAAATTTTTCATCAACATTGAGTTTTTATTAAAATACTATATAAATACAAATTCAAGTTTTGACTCACTCAAACACAAACTCAAAAAGATTCTTATCTCAAACCATAACTCAAATGTATACAACCAAATACAAACTCAAATTACAAGTTCAACTCAAGTTATAACTCAAATTCAACTCAAAAATTATACTCAAATTAAACTCCAAAAGAACAAGCCCTTTGTGACTCCTTTAGCAAAGACCAAGCTGCCCAGACATAATTGCAAAACAAAAAATTCTCGATTAGAATGTTAAAGTATAAAACTATTGTTGGTTCACCTCATAACAGTTTAAACTTTTGGGATAGATTGGTAAATTAACATAGTATCAGAGCGGGAGATCCTGAGTTCAAACCTTATAATTGCACTCTTTATCCCCATTTAAAATTGTCATCATGTGTTGGGTCTTTAATATATCTCGGGCTTAAATATTCACGTGTTGGGCTTTCCAATTAATTTACCCACACGATTGCCACGATTGCCTATTGTCCAGTCCACACGTGAGGGGGAGTGTTAAAGTATAAAACTATTGTTGACCCACCTCCTAACAACTTAAGCTTTTGGGATTGATTGGTAAACAAACATAGAAAGAAAACAAAGAAAACGCTAATATTTTTCCTCATAATCCTCTCCATAAAATCAAAAGTTGTAGTTTCATCATTAATCATTAAGGCCATGTTTAGTAGCTTGTATTGCATTGGATCGTATAAGGTTAAAATGTAATTTTAGAAAATATAAAGTTGCATTATGCCTCCCTTAATTTTTAAACAATCATAGGCTCTGACATGAGTTAATCAAATGAGTACCAAGTCTTAGACAAATTCTGGCTTAGAAATTTAACATAAAACTTCAAAATGTATAAAGATTACATATTCATCACAAATTTCAAAATAGAGAAAGAACCTTATTTCTTAAGTAAAATTTTGAATCCTTAGTTCCTTCCTTTGAAATTTATACCATATATCAAACTTTAAAAATCACTAACCAACTTAGAATCAAAATCCCCTTTAGTATCCATAAAAATCAAATAGTTAAACCAAAAATTCTCAAATTAGAACATAACAATTAGAATTAGTAATTTTTTAAAACATTTTCACCACCTTAAATCCCGGGACCATCATGAGGAAACATGACGAAAACCCAAAACATCAAAAATTAAATAAAAACCCTAAAATTACACTCAAAAGTTTGACCTCAAATATAATGTTGAGCTTGGTTTCTTGAGTCTTTCCACAAGTTTTTGTGAGAAAAATTGGTTTTCGTAGTATAAGTTTCTAGAACGTTCATAGAAGCCAATTGGTGCGAAGCATCGCTACTGCAACGACCGCAACTATTCCCTATCCTTAGAGCTCTGACTTGTAATTGGAGGTATCGGAATCACCGGAATCTACATTCTCGCCAAAAGACTATTTCAAGACCGAGGCTTTTCGGCATATGACTTGTAACCAGCGATTGGCGAAGGGCAAAATAAGTGAAGAAGAAGAAAATATATATGATTAAAGAGTGAAGAAGCACGGTAAAAAAAGGGGAAAAAAATGACCACCACCTTTTTTAAATTTTACTCCTTTTATTATTGTTTATTTATTTTTTTAAGTTAATAACATAAGTCTTCATTCATTTTCTTAAGGCTATATACATTTTTACAAAATATAATTTGAGGAAATAAAGGATGTATATGATATAAATTTCATGTCATTATATTTTACTAAAATGCATTTGGTATTTTCTTTTAAAAAAATAAATATAAAACTTAATTTTCTTGCTATTTAATAACTAATTCTAGTTGAATATGACAGATTTGACATATACGGAAAAAAAATAAAGTTAAAAAATTAGCATAATTGTGTGATTTACTAGATCATACAAATGCATTATTTTTTCCCAATCACCTCAAAAATAAAGAATAAAGAGGGAATTGGCAAAGGTGTGGCGTCACATCTAAACCGAAAAGGTAGCGATGTTATACACACAATATAAACTGGTGAAATTCTTAATTGAATATAGACACCTAAAATATTACACTATGGGTAGTTCGAAGACTTAATCAAATTTCAGACAAGAAAAGGTGCTCAAAATCTAGACTCTAGACAATAGTTCCTACAAAAACATCAAACAATTTCAAACCAAAGCCAACTGAAGAGCCATCAATTCATGTGTCCCAGTTTACTACAATAGCTCCAATAACTGCAACTTTGAGAACCAGGTAGCTAAATCACAAGAAGTTAGGCATCACATAATGCATACCCAGGATATAGATACAATATGAGTTCGGGAGTTGAAAAAGTCAGTAACAATGTCATTCCCGGGATATAATGCAGAAAAAGTTAAGATTACAATTTATACATCCTAGAAATGTTTTCAAGACTGGAACAGTCTGAGATATTACAGGATTAAGAGCTTAATTTGATCTTGAATTATTTGGCGATTAGTATCGGACTATAAATAAATATAAGAAAAGAAACCGTCAGAAACTAAAATTTTCTGTCGGCTAAGCTAATTCTCTACAGCCAGTATAAATCTTGACTGCTTTATAGAGAACCTTAAGAGATAAGCTTAAAGAAGTAATGATGAGCTTGTATTTATGAGAGGGACAAATGTTGATCAACCATTGGAGATAAGAAATTTGAGAATCTCCTCTTTATCTTCTCCAATTACGGCTGGACACGTAGATGGCCAAATGGCGATTAATGATTGGATGACCGTGAGAAACTTCTCCTTTCTCCTACCATTATGGCCAGCCAATGAGATAAGAGTACCTATTGGATAAAATCAAATTATCTACCATCCTTTGCTTATGTCAGTAAGATGACATCAAGTAAGCAATTAAGAATTTAAGTGAGATATGATCTATTTTCCACCTCACCTTGGTTGTCGAACCAATAAAATTAAGATTTTTGACTGATTGGGGTTGACCGAGTCAACATGTATTGATTAAGAGTCGATTAATAAGTCACTCTTAAAAAGTTAGTCAAGGTTGGACAAAGTTGATTAAGTTGACCAACTGTCCAAAAAACGCAGATAAAACGCGCACCGGATAAGAATTAAACTGAATCAAAGTAAGATAACTATTAGAAATGAATGGTTGAGATTTAAAGTGATTAATTGGATGGAGGGCTGAGATCAAGCCATTTGCTTAATGAGGTGGCCGGCCAAGCTTGTAAAAGAAGCCAAGAAAGAGATATTTTTAGTAGATTTTGCAAAAATGACCCTAGAGAATGCCAAAATTGCACTTTAGTTCCTCCTACTTTATTAGGTCGGTTTTATGAGGTAAAAATACAACCAAATGTTCATTTTTTATGCCAAGAAATCAGAGAGCATCAGCCAAAGAGAGGAAAAGAAAAAAATTCACCCAAAGTGAGAAAAATGAGTTTTAATCGAAATTGACAAAACTACACCGCTAGTTCGCATCACTAAGGACTTATCTTCATTCTCTAAGGTAAATTTCGGTTTTCTTCTCACTTTTTCTACCATGGCTGCACGTATATGGATAGTAGGAAGCATGGGAAAATTTTTGCCTAAGATGATGATATGCTTATGGTTAGTAATGGTACCGAAAAATATAATGTTTAAAGGTTAAATTTTCGGTTATTGGCTTTTATTTTAGTGTTTTTGTTCATGGAGAATTCTTGTGAATGATAAGGAAACCCTAGAGCTTATGATGTTTATGATGATTAAAAGAATGAGAAATGTTGAAAAAGCGTATAAAACAAGCTATGGTTAGCTCAGGAAACACGAAGAATTAGGCGAAACTCCGCCGAAATTTAGTTTAGAAATTGTGAACCAATCTTGATTGTAATGAAGAGTATGAGTAATGAGATATATAAATGAGATGGTTAGATGGTTAAAAAGGTGTCAGAAACCTGAAATGATGGGAATCCCCAGTTTCTGATCAAACCTGAAAACTTGGTTAATGACCGAAAACGTGTATGTTTAGGCTAAAGGACCAAGATAGAAGCTTGATTTGAAAAAGTGATCAACATTAAGTTAAAAGAAATTTAGTTCCAAGCAACTTTTGTGAAATAGCGTTTTCCTCAAAAACGACTCGAGATGCCAGTTTCGAGCTAATTTCCAATACAGGTCTAAAATGGGATTTTAGGCCAAATATGCACGAGTTTAGAGCACTATGGTGATTTAAGAGATGTTTTAATCGGGTGCCCATTATTGTATGCTTTTAT